CCCCCCCCCCCCCGGATTCCTCCTAAGCCATGGAAGCCTCTACTGCTCAGAATAGCAAGCTTTAACTAACCCTGCTTTACAGGAACAGCCACGATGGTAGCTGGAGTACCCACACCCAGCTCTTCCACTTTGAGGGGGGAGGGGGGACTCTGAAGCAGGAGTTTGACACTCGCTTCCAGGGTTTCCAGAAGGGATGAGCTCATGAAGTGTGCTGGGAGCTGGGTATGTCTGTGCCCTTTCCTGACTGCTCAGATCACTTCTCTGTGCTCAGATCCTGGCTTCAGGGTCCTCTTCTGTGACAGCCCCCACTTCCTGTTTTTTTTTTTTTTTTTAAGTAGACAACCAATGCTTTCTGCTCGATGTCATGCAAACAGGACTTCCATCCCTTCCTCTAGACAAATTGTTGTTTATAAAGACACATATAGACAGTCTAAAATGGCTGCTGCACTGCCAAACTGATCTTCACCTCTCCCCACTCTCGACATACACTGTGCCTTACCTCACCCCCACCCACCCTCCATCTCTAAGTTTCCTGTGGGGCCCAGGAAAGGCCTGCTTCAGAGCAGAAAACCATCTAGTCGTGGCTGGCTGGCCTTCATCGGAAGGTACAGAAGTGGGTCAGCACTTCTTATTTCTATTTATTGTCAATTCCAGGTCCTCTTGGCAGGCAGAACCACTGACCTGCCCGTCAGTGTCGAGGGCTGTCTGAACTCTCCGAGGAAAATGGATCACAGACGAACTGCTTCATAAATGCAGAGTACAGCGAAATAATAAATCCAGGCAGCTACAGCAAAGTAACCCTGGGAGTCGCAGGATGTGATAAGAGCCACAGCAAGGGGACCCCCAACTGCCCAAATCCTACCATTAGACATTGGTGCCTTAAAGCCTCAAAGGCACCAGTCCACATGACAAGGTAAATTCAAGGTCAAAGTAGGATCCAATTGGCAAGATGAAAAGCCTATTACCCGACAGGGAGGCCAAGGTGAGTCTGGCTACTGAGCTGGACATCACAGCTATGAGCATGGGGAACCAGAAGCGCAGCCAGTAACTAGTACATGCAGCGACAGGACCGAACGGAAGCAGCTTGTACTTGGAGCTGGATCTCCTGGCCTACAAATCCCAGCTCCGCAGCTTCTCAGTGGTACCAACCTCGGGCATGTGCTTCAGTCTGCCTAGGTCCCAGTATCTGCATCTGTCAGGTGAGCATCACAACAGCCTCTCAATAGCTATCTTCCCCATAGTGCTGGGGATTGCCCCTGGGGCTCTAGTCATGTTCTGTTAGCATCCCACCACTGTACTGTATCCCCAGCCCTCTTTTTATTTTACTTACTCCTTTTTTGAGACAAGGTCTCTCTTAGTGACTGAGGTGTCTTTGAACTTAGTCTGTAGCTCAGTGTCTTAGTTTCCTTTCTATTGCTGGGACAAGACACTGTGACCAAGACAATTTGTCATTTACTTGGAGGCTTGCTGACAGTTTTGGAAGGTGAGTCTATGACTATCATGGCAGGGAGCGTGGTATCAGTAAGGCAGACGTGGCAGTAGCCGAGAGCTTACATCTAGTGTGCAAGTTGGAGGCAGAAAGAGAGTGAAACTGGGCCTTGCATGGGCTTTCAAAACCTCAAAGTCCACCCCCAGTGACATACCTTCTCCAGTGAGACCATATCTCCTAAGTTTCCCCAAACAATTTCACTACCTAAGGACCAAGCATTCAAATATCTGAGCCTGTGTGGGCCATTCTCGTTCAAACCACCACATTCAGGCTGGTCTTGAACTTGACATCCTCCTGTATCAGCCTTCTGCAGACCTGGGATTGCAAGCCTATAACCCCAAGTTACTGTGAAGATCTCCTAGTGATAGTAAGTTTCTTTCACTCCCAGAGAGGCAGTTCTAGTTAACGTTTCCCAAGTTCAGGAACATGTTAGTTATAGACACAGTTTTAGTAGGTCCTCTCTTTAAGTGTGTGTGTGTGTGTGTGTGTGTGTGTGTGTGTGTTTTGCTAGAATTCCTTCCACAGGGGAAACATAAGCAACATTCACTTCTAATGTTCCAACAACAAACCAAGGCATGATTCCACCAAAGTTCAGTCTGGGGAACCAAAGAATTAGCTCATTGGACTTCCTTACAGAGCATGGATGAGGAGTTACCTACAGAGGTATGGGTGCCCCTCCTCACACACCTGAAAAGTCTGTACCCAGAAAGAATGAGTGCTTCCCCATAGCTGCATAGATGTACCTCATCCCCTAGACTTCTCTAGTCCATGTAATCTAGCCTCTCCCTCAAACAGAATTGCATAAAATAAGTGGTAGCAAGTGATTGGATACTCAGGTAAGGGTCCTGTGACCCCCCCCCATCCCTCCATGAGGGATGTAAATAATCAAGTCCAGATGAGATAATCCTTTTGCATGAGATGCACCATCCCCAAGATGGCGGTTGCTTTGCTTGGAGGACAGTCATCTACCCCAATGTGTGCAGGCATGCAGATGTTGTGGCACATGGTCAGAGGTCAGAGGACAACTGGCAGGAGTCATTTCTCTCCCTCTCCCTTGTGAGATCTGGGGCGGGATTTAGATCATCAGGCCAGGCAGCAAGCACCTTCACACACTGCCCCAATTCACAGGTTCTTTTTTAGAAATGTTTTTGTTTATGTGTATAGGTGTTTTACCTGTAAGCATATCTGTGCACATGTGTGCAGGCCAGAAAGGGGCACTAGAGGCCATGGAACTAGAGTTACGGTTGGTTGTGAGCTGCTTTGTGGGTGCTCAGAATCTTCTGGAAGAGTAACAAGTGCTCCTAACAGATGAGCTATATCCCCAAGTTCTTCACATGAAGTCACATGCTTCCCTCTATGCAAAAATAAAAGCTTTACATATTTCCGTTCTCTCTTTTGATCCTTCTCATTATTCCAAGGAAAGACCAGCCTGGTACCCGAAGCCATTAATAACTAACTCTCTAGCAATGGTTGATCTGCAAATCCACTGTCTCCAACAGGAAAGGCAGGGACAGTAAGATCAGGACCTTCTTGGACAGGAGTCTCATTCTAATGTAATAATATTTTGCTCTTGTACTTAATTTCATGCTTACCTTCCTTTAATGGATGGGTTTCTGGCTTTCCTTCCATGTTAGCCAGGTAACCATTCTTTAAAAAACAAAACAAAAACAAAAACATGCTTTTTTTTTTTATTGGTCCTTTGGGAATTTCACATTATATACACCAATCCCACTCATTTCTCATTTCCCAGTCCTTCCATGTCTGCCCTTCACCCTTGTAGCTTCCCCACCAAAAGAAAATTTAAAAAAAGAAAGAAAGAAAGAAAAGAAAACCATTTCACTCCTCCATCTTTCCGGCCCCTCCGTCATAAGTTCTTTTATCGTAGTGGCCTTGGGAGCTGCAGTGTGTCAAGTTTACACTTTTGCCCAACACAGCTTTACTTGAAAATGGTCATTGCAAGGAGTCATTGGTCTGGTTCCAGGCCTCTGGCTTCTGGGACACCATCAACACTAAAACTCCTCTCAGATGTCCTGCTGCTGCCCTGAGTCATGGAGATCCTGGGGCTGTGGTTCCACAGGACGGGTCCCTTCATGTGATACAACAGATTGTAGACGGCATAGCTGTTGGGGTGGCTAACTTAAAGCCCTGCATGTGGGCCTGGGTGGTAGCTGAGTTGGTCAGTCTAGGCCTCTACTGGGACCACTCCCCTCAAGCGAAGATCAGAGCCAGATCTCCAGTGCCCAAGCCTCTCCTGTGCATGGTGAAGGGTGAGGCCAGCTCTTCTCAGTGCGGAGCTAGCTCTCCCATTGTGGTGGCTGGCAAGAGGGGGGGGGCAGTTCTCCCAGGACCATTGAAGGTCGGGGACAGCTTTTCCATACCCACACCACTGGGGCCAGCTCTCCTGGTGGGGCGTGAGCATCTTTCCCATTGCAGCAGTCAGCAAGGGGCAGGACTAGTTTTCCAGTGCCCAACCCATTCTCCCATGGCCCCGTGGTAACACGGGCCTCCGTCATCAACACACATCCCAGCTGCCATAAGACCATGGACCCAAACGTGATCCTCTGCCACAGCTTGGGCCCAGATGTCGCTATGGCCCTGAGTGGCTGTGCAGGTCACTCAGATTGGTAGGGCCCCAGCCACAGCTTAGCCCTGGACACCAACATGGCCAGAGGTGGCAGCCCAGACCCTAGGCATCTGCACAGCTTTCAGTGGTAACACGAACTATGGACATCATCTCAGACCCACCTCTGTGGTAGGGCCACAGACCCAAACCCGGCCCTCAGCTGCAGCTCACCGGAACATCAGCATGGCCTCAGGTGGCGGCCCAGACCACCGGCATCTGTATGGCCTTCAGCATTAACCATTCTTTTTTAAAACATCAAATGTGCTTCTTAACCAAATTTTTCCACAATGTTAAATACATTGTGTTAGCTCCCAAGTGGGCCCCCAAACTGGCAGTGCCACTCCCAGATGTCCTAAATGACAATCTGGGTTCAGCTCGGGCAGAGCACTGACCAGGCAAACAGGAGGATGTTAAGGGTAAATAGAAACCTAAACACAGTGTTCCTCAGAAATCTTCTGAAGCTCAGTAAGAAAAGCTATTGCTTCCCTTATCTGTCCATATAGTCAACTACCTCTGCAAAGGACTAGCTCCTGACTACCCCCCACAAGCCTGCAGGAGATCAAAGCCCCCAGGTTAGCCCCCAGGCTGTTCTGGCCTCCACGCCTTCCACATGGTGCTACCTCCTCTGAATAAAACTGACAAGGCTTTCCCCACCACCAGTCTGAGGGGCAGCCTGGCAGTTTGATCCCCCAGTAAACCTTTCTTTTATCCACAGAGTGGTCCAGTTCTGTGGTTTCACTGCACCCTTACTTACAGTTTGGGTACTTCTTGGATATAGAACAAAAGCGTCAACAAGGCACTAAAATGAGCGAACACTGGAAACCGTGATGTTCGGCTGAAGAAAACAGAGACCTGGGTAACATCTCCAGGGATATGCACAGATTATCCCACAACTAAACACGTTCCCAAGTCTCAAAATGCACCCTCGTGTCCTCGGTTTTTATCCAGGGTCCCCAGAGACTCTTGCACTCGATTTCACTTCTCTTTCCGTAATTTTTTCCCCTTGAGCCAAGGTCTTGCTATAGATCATAGACTGGCTTTGAACTCAATCCTCTTGCACCAGCTTCCCAAGTGCTGGGATTACAGGTGGGTGCCACCAACCCCAGCAGGAATTTGACACATACGTTACCAGCAATTTAATTTCTATGGGATATATTGTCATAAACACAGAGAAGGTCTAAAGATGTATGGCTGAGAGGATTTAGGGGTCACATTACTTAGAGCAGGGGAAAGCCTGGGTACCACCTACAAGGATAACAGCAAGAGATGCGCATAGCCCATGATAGCACTGTGTGAGCCCCACCTAGATGGCTCTGATGGCGGTGATATGTCAAACTAGCACCTCTCTAGGAACTTTCTACGCCAATGTACTCAATCCTTACAGCACTTGCACAGGGGATTACTCTTGGCTGCAAAGGGCAGAGACTTGGACGACAGGCGGCAAAGCAAACTCAGAAACGTTAACCGAGTGCCCCAGGCCACACAGCTGGTAAATGGGAAAGCTGACACTGGAAACCACGCCATCTCAACGTAGAGCCCACGTTGTTGGTTACCCTGCCACATGCTCTGCTTGAGGCTGATGCAGGTGAAAAATGACGCACGTTGGAAAGTGAAGAGTGAGGCAGGAAAAAAAAAGGTCTATGAAACATACACCATATGTCAAAAAGGGTATTTCTGGTTAGCGCGGTTGTTATTTTTATTGTGTGCTTGTTCTTATGTGTTTTCCAGGTTTTCTCTATTGAGTGTTCGTTATACCCAGTTATAGAAGAAAACCCAGGCAGTGTCCACTCTCCGAATCTTTGCGGCTTCTAACAGTGACTCTTAGTAATAACAAAAAATTATCATCATGGCCGGGTGTGTGGATAAGTTGAGAGAGTATGTAGCATGCACAGATCCAAGAGTGTGATCCTTAGCACCTCATAAAAGCGGGTGTAGTGGTGCAGACCTGTGATCCACCATTTGGGAGGTGGAGGCAGGAGGACCAGAGGTTCAAGGTCATTCTCAGCCATACAGAGAGTTTGAGGCCAGCCTGAGCTACAGAAAACCCTCCTTCAAAAAAAATAAAAATAAAAAACAAACAAAAAACATCACAATAGTCATCATTTAATGAGCTTTTTGTATGCTAATGGAGTGACCTGCATGAGCTCATTTGACCCTTCCCAGCCAGAGGCACACTGAGTACTGGTTCATAGTGCCTGTGTCCTCCTTTTTAATTGCAGAGGAGAGATACACAAGTCAAAAGAAAGCAAAGAACGGTCTAGACATCTGAGCACAGGGTTCCAAGGCGACAAGGCATTGTAGAGGAGAGAGCACTGACCAAGACTGGACACCTAGGCTTCCCTGACTTGGAATCTGTGACCTTAGGAAAAGTCTCCCCTTTTCCCCTCTGGGCTCAGCTTCGCCATCTGCAAAACAAGGGAATTAGACAAGATGATCTTCAAGATCTTGCAGCTTGCTGAGTCTGCAATTACAGATGGCATCTCAATGTGCGCCCAGAGTCGTGCCCTCCCACGCAGCACAGCCCATCTCCCTCCTGCTCGCTGGAGGCAGCATCACTAGAGCTGACCTACTTTGTACGGCCAGAAGAGAAGGACAGAGAGTGGGAGTCCCTCCTCTCCCCAGACCCCTCTCCCCTCCTCTGGACCCTGTCCCCCATTGATCCTCTGAATGCAGCAGACTTAAAATGTCCCCAGGTGGCAGGGTGACTTCCACACAGGGCCTTTGTTGTTCTGTGGTGGTGACTCACCTGGGGAAACTGACTTTTCAAGCCAGGCTGCGATCCGCAGGGTGTTTAGGTACAATGTAATGGCAAGGTGCAGGAAAGTCTGGGTGGGGGAGCAAACAGCGGACCTGAAGCCCTCTGGGCTCATGCCAGGAGAAAGAATAATCATCCCTGGAAGGCAGCCTGAGCCTGGTGATCATGTGTTTGTGAGAGGGAAGCTGTGCCGAGGTGGGCAGAGCAGGACAGAAGCCTTGCCGGGTCTCTGTATGTGTGTGCCCAGGTTTTAAAACATCAGGAGCAGACATTCCTCCCCAGTGCTTCCTAACTCCAGACAACGGCTATCACAAAGTGCCACAGACAGTGGTTTGAACAAGAGAAATGTATTTTCATTCATTCCAGAAACTGGAAGCCCGAGACCAAATGTTGGCAGAGTTAGTTCTCGCTGAGATGGCCTCTTTTCTTGACTTGTAGGCCACCTTCTCCATATGGCCATCCTTATGTGTTTGTCTAAAGCTCCTCCTTCTCGTGAGGACCCTGATAATATCTAATCAGGGCCCACCTAAATGATTTATTTATTTTTGAATCAGTTTCTCACATATCCCAGACTAGCCAACAACTCACTATAACCAAGGGTATGCTTAAACTTTTGAACATCACACACACATTGAGTATGGAGACTGCCAATATGGACCACCACATGAGCTAGAACCTTATTTTAGTCAGCTAAAAAAATAAAAATAAAGACAAAGCACACACACACATGCATACACACCCATCTCCAAATGCAGTCATACTCTGCAGTACAGGGATATTTAGGACTTCTGTGTATGAATTCAGGCCCTGGCACTCTAAGACCAGGGGTCCCCGAGGAACAGGGACAGGTTTTCATATTCACTCAACTCTC